ATGTTATATTTTACAGCTAAGTAAAAAAATTAAATCAATAGCTTGCCATAGTAGTTCCACTTTGTCCACCTCAATGTCAAATTATCCTTGATGAAACAAACAAAATATTTGTATCTTAGAATCATTTGAATGAATTTTATAAGTATTACAACTAGCAATATCATATATATTTCTGAAATCTCAATAAGATCCTTCACTAAATAGCATAAAAACATTTAAATCTAATGGACGACAATTAAAACTTGATTGCATAAATTCATCTCAACTTCATATTACATCATTACGTAATTAGATTGATATTATTTTTTGTTTATTGTTGTTCAGGTCATTTGGTATGAATTAGTTAACATCTTTATCTATATAAAATAGAGAAATTTTTTTAAAAATGTTATTTTTCAAGTATCACTTTTCAAAAATGTCATATTTGTAAAATCTTTGCAAAAATACTACTTTTTCAAAATTATTTATTCATTATATCATTTATATTTGAGTTAACTAAGTTGTATTAAAGTTTAGTTTTGAGGGTTTAAGACGTTTTAGGGGTCAAAATATTTTTTAGGATCTAGAATCTTAAGATTTAGGCTCTAAAAATTCATAATTTGTGATATTTTTGTAAATTGACAATTCATAGTGACATTTTTACAAATGTACAGACTAAAAGTGGTATTTTTGCAATTATCCCAATAGAAGTCATTTGACAATTTAGTAAAGACGTGTGTTATTCTTTTCCTAAGTACAATTTTATTTTTTTATTTCACTACTAAATTTTTTTCCGATGATTTCTATTTGTGATCTAAAAACACGAATAAAAAGTTACGATTCTCTCACTTAACTTCATCCACTCACCACCTTTCATCTGATGCACTATATTTAATCTCTGGACTTTCAATATTAAATAAAAACTTAGAAAAATTTGCATCTAAGACTTTTTAAATTTATAAAGTGAATCAAACAAAACATTACTACCATAAAAGTAATCATTTCGGTTCAATAAGAAAACACCATGTCCAATCCTATAATCAAAACCTACTTATAGAAACAACAGGTATATAGAGACACTCTTCTAGATCTCCGTGACATCCAACGTCAGATCAATCTATAAATCTCAATGTCTCCAATTCGTGCCTTCATCCTATTTCTCACGAAAAGAAATTGTTCATGTTCTTTTTATAGGTTGGAATTGTATTGAATCTCTGTTTAATATGAAACACATGAGTAGCGACCCAAAAATTTAACCACCAAATATTATTAGGCACTTCAATAAGATTCAATTCAAAACAAACAAAACTACAATGTTTACCTTTCTTATCAAACCATATCTTTGTTACAACTTGCAACTTTGCCTTAGCTTTCGTAATGGGAGCCGTGATTAGTCTCGTAAGAATCAAAGAAAAAGTTTAGCAAAGCTTCTTTTATCCCTAGTCTCTCTTGAGAATAAATTTAATACTAGAAGATAGTTCTTTATTGATGATAAGATATCTTTATATAGAATCATAATCCCAAACCAAAAGAAAAATTATCCTAGCTTTTAAAATAAAGG